CCATGAGCTCATAAAGTGCCACGTGGCAGTTCCATCCAGAACCGCGTGATTGAAGGCGCACCCCATCGCGACTCCGTCTTTAAGCTTGGTTAGCTGGACGATAACAGAATGATTTCGAGTTAGTGGGCCGTCTCACTGATCCATGGCCCAATTACAACTATTTTTGTTCTGGGCTTGGACCATAGAACAAATGGGCCCAGGCCTAGTCCCAAGGTATGGGGCCAACAAAATTGAGCTCAGAAATTCAATTGTTAAGAAAAATGCTAAATATATATTTTAATCGTTTAGAAGCAGACAAATTTGGAAGAAGAATTAGAAGCATTTTGTTGAACAATTCTTTTTCAAATCTCTACCAACTTACTACCATATCATATAAGTTTATTATCTACCAATTAAACTGATACAATTGAAAAGGTTAAAAAAGACATTTTACTGCATGCAATTCAATTTGTACGGTTCTTTTACCTGAACAGCCAGCAATGGCCTCCGGAGGCCTTCCAAGTTCAAGATCCCATTGTACGGAATCAGCTCCTTGAGGGTGGCCGTGCCTTCCTCCGCTGCCAAATCGGCAATACCGACATCATCGGCCACTGCCTCGGCCACCTCGGCGCCGTCCATATCGTCATCGTACTCGACTCTAAAAATGCCATCCTCATCCTTGCCCAGCCTCCCGGCAAGCTGATGAAACGGCTCGAGAACTGTGGCGAGGCCATCCTTCAGCTTGTCGACGATCTCTGAGAAGCGAAGCTCGCCGCCATTGTCGCCGTAGAGAAGGAGCTTCTGGTTGTAGTAGAAGGCAAGGTAGGGGAGGTCAAATGTGACCAATTGGCACTGTTTTCTGCCAAGTTTGTTGTTGGGCTTGACATGGGTTTTGGCAGTGATTTTGAGCTTCAAACTTGGCTGATCCTCTTTCTTCACAGCTTCATGGAGATCAGCAGCCATGGATTTTGAACAAAAAGCAAAGGCAGCAAAAATAAGAGAGATTATTATTGGTTGAGGGGTGTGTGGAGAGAAGGGCAAAGATGGAGAGTGTTTATAGAGAAAGGCAAAGTGATTATTAATAATATGGTTGGCAGTGCATTTATGGGGTTCATAGGGTGCAGTTGTGACATATTAATGTGTACCTTGAAAGTTGAAAACCCAACTGGCTTTGCCTTATACTATGGACAGGTTGAGAAATTACATGTTGCTTTAATTCTCTTTAGGTTTTTTTTTTCTTTTTTTTTTTTTTTGGAACTTTTACACTTTGTTGATTATTCACTAACATTATCTTTTGGTCCTTGAATTTTTCATGTACATTAAATTTTTGTATTGCATTTAATATAAACGTCAGGTCAATTATTTTAAGATTTGATGTAATTCAGATGAGTTTGAGATGATTTTTAAAAAGGTAAAAAATATTTTTAGGCTATACTATTACTAACTCGTTGATATTTTTTACGGATCGTTGTTGAAAAGTTGACTAATTATTATTATTGTTTTTAAGAAGTTGGCCTAATCTTCTGATTCTCAAAAACATAATTAAAAGTGATTCTAGAAAAATTTTAAAACATTTTTTTTTTGACAGAGTAAAATTTTTAAAACACTTAAAGTACTTAATTAAAACTTCTTAGAAAAAATGTTTCACTTAGAGGAAAAAAAAGGAGGAGAATGTGATGAAGCATTGAAAATCATGTGGAAATTTTGATGAAAAAGGAGAAAAACCAAACCATGGGGATCCATTTTCATTTAGTAATAAGCGTTGAATTTGGCAAAAATAATCCAAAATTTCCATAATAATTGGTCCGTTTTAAAGTCACATTTGTAGTTGTGAATCTGTGATATGGACTTAAATCTGAACCTGTACCTCTAATCTAAAGGGCAAAGATGGAAAATGGAGGTCTAAAATTGCAAATATCTTTGACAATTTTTTACCAAATCAAGTGGTTAGTTGAGAAGTATTTATTTAATGTCATAGATGTCACTTTAGTTATCCGCAAGCATTTTACTTACCAACTTAGGATATTTATATAAATGGAACCCCACCCATTTGTTTGAATTGGTTAAATTTTTACTTGGAAATAATATATATACTTATTTCTGTTGTTAGTCAAAGAGCATCAAAGGAATTATATAAGATATAGTTCGAAGATGTACCTTCTTAAATATCTACTTTATAATTTATTTAAAATCTTATTCAACTAATTTCGTATGATAGTAATGTTTTCAACTAAGAACTTATTTGAATTTCCATTATGATCTGAGGGATTTTTTTTTCTTTTCTTCAATAGTTTTTTTATAAAGTCAATTGCGGTCATCTAAATCTAAAATTGTTACACAATTCCTAAATTTTTTAAAGGTGAGATGTCTTTCATTGTGCAAGTGGCTAGACCTAAAATCGAAGTTAAAATTTAAAGGGGTTATTTGATTAATCAAAGATGGTGACTATTGAAAAACAGTGTGATATTTAATTAATAAATAAAATGATGTGCTTAAATTCTATTAATTCAATTAAAAGAAATCGCATTTTAGTAGATGAAAGTGTGGAAATGTTTAAATTATGGATACGAAATAAATTGAAAAAAGGGTATTGATGATTTCCTCATTCTTCATCGAAGAAAACCAAAATTAAAAAAAAAAAAAAAAACCATCTCCCCTCCCACATGTATTTTCCCAAATATTAATATATGAAGCCTAAAAAGAGGTTGTCATTAATTAGCAATAAGGGAGATGACCTCCTTTGTACCTCTGACCACAAAAGTAGTTTAACTTTTAACTAACACAATATAGTCCAACAATAATTAACATGTAATCATTTTTGGAAGGTTGGAAGTTCGATCCCCATATCTTAAAATTGTTGTACTCGAAAAAATGTAAGTCTAAAATCTATTTTTGATAACTAGACTATTCAATTTTGACTGTTTCACATCAATTTGTTGGCCACAAAAGTAGTTAAATTTTTCTTTTTCTTTTTCAGTACAAAAGCAGTTTAACCTTTAACTAAACAGTATGAATAATATCAATTTAGCTCAATAGTAATTGATATCTATCTTATACCAAGAGAATATGAATTCGAATTCCTTACCACTTATGTACTATTAGGTAATCTTACATTTTGAAGCTTTATTTTATTTCGAGGAAAAACTTTATTTTATTATTAATGTTAAATATGAGTGATTGAGTCTCTTAATATTTTGAACCTAGTTTAACAGATTAAGGTATCTGTTTCAGATCAAAAGATTATCGTTCGAATTCCCATCCCCACGTGTTAAAAAAATAGGAGCTTTTGATTTCGAGTTTTTATTTTATTTTATTTTTACTGTGGCAATCGTCATTTAAAGAATTTTGCTTCGATTCTCAATTATAGTGGATTTCTTCTTCTTTTCACTTTTTTTCCCTAATTGCAAGAGTTTCTTTATGTAGAATATAATCAAAATTCAATTTATAATTTAATAATAATAATACACCTGAGTAATCTTGTCTCAAAAGGATATGGTAATAATCATTTGAAAAAATAAAAAAAAATAAATGGTGATTGTCAGACTCTTTTAAGGGCACAGCACATGGCTATGGCTATGTGACCCATCTTCATTTCTCATAATAAATGTTATCATAAATATTTGCCCATAATGTTTAACTTCTTGGATGTAAAAAATTGGAGAAATTACTCTACCTTTTATCATATAGGTAACAAGCATAATGATGATATTTGATGGTTACAAGCATTTTCATACAGAAATTTAAGTTTTTTTTCTTTTGAAACAATACAGAAATTTAAGTTAAAATATGACAGTTAAATTAGTAAATATTTAAGTTGAATTACCACTTTCTTTGTGAGTGATATTTTAAAGGGGAAAAAAGAAAAAGAGGGGAAGAATCCACACTTAGTATTCACTACAATTCAGAATGTTAAGAAAAATTAAAAGACGCGTTCGTAGCATTATCTTACAAACTAATTATTTGATCTTATAATATTTGATTTCTTTCACTAATAACTCCCAGTATATTCACAGTTTTTGTAAATATTTTCAAAATCTAGACGAATTTTGTAAACAAGAAAGAGTAGTTTTTGTATATTAAATTTGGCCAAAAATTCAAATATGTTCGAATAGAAAGGTAAAAAACTTACTAAAAAATAAGCATAATAGCACCTCAGCAGCTATTTAATTTTATTGTAACAGCAGCAAATTAACAAAGCAAATTGGAAATCCATGTATCATCCAAACCATTTAAGGACCAAAATCTCTCTAACTATAAATTTTTATCTCAAGGTAATTCAGGACGGAGAGAGAATCATGCTGAAGAGTAGATCAACATGGCACAAGAATTACACATAAAGATTCTTATTCTATAGGATCATATTTATCCACAAAAAAAATTGTTGTTTTCAGCAAAGAAACCAATTGTTAAAAGTAGAAGACTAGAAATTGAATCCTTATCGAATAGTACCTGAAGTTGCAGAATTTGTCAGAGTAGAAGAAGACTCTCAGCATAAGAATCTGCATAAACCCAATGAGACCCTGATTCAATTCGAACATCTTCAATGTGCTCCAGTTCAGGGTCGAACAGTGTCAGACTAGAATTTTCCAGCCCTTCAGTCTGCCTTGCAAGGAGAATTTTACAATCTAAGAGCCTCCAAGTTCTTGTTATTTGCTCATGTAGTGGCAGAATAATGGTGTTTAATCTCACCCAAGTACCCATTTTCAGAAGCCATGTGTCACACAGTTGCTTCCCACCATCAGACCTGCAATGGAAAACAGAAAGGGATTCCTTGACCACTCCCAGAGATGGTGATGATGGAGCATCAGTGTAAACCAAACAGTCAGGTAACATTAGCCTATGGAACTCTTCAGCAGCCATGTCAAAAGAAAGAATGGAAATGGGAATTCCACCATTTTTGTGCTTCACAATCCAATAGGCAACTTCATCGAAGCAGATGGATTTGGGCAACAATCTGCAGTCAAGGGCAGAGGGAATTGGAGGAACAGCAGGAACTCTCCTCCAACAGTCAGATTTGAGACTGTAAATTTCCACTTGGTAACAGCAACTCCATTGCTCAAACCTCACAATTCTCACCACTTTGTGATCAATTACTGCTTGGTGGAAGCCAAATGCAAGGTAGTTTAGAGGCCAACAATGGTCCTGTTTGGGAATTAAACCTCTGGGAAGTTTCCTAGATTTTCTAACAGATGGGTTCCATATATAAATTGGATCCACATCCAACAGATTTGCAGATGAAATGCAGATTAATCCATTATTTGATCCACAGACAGAGAGCTTATAGCCTGGATGGGCCTTCATGGGCAATTCTAATTGAAGAGCTTCATTGACTGTTTCAGCATTGAAAAGTGAGAAACATGCTTTCTGGTCTGTATTAGAGCTATTGATTATGAGTAGAGAATTTGGAATCCTCTTTCCCAAATGAGCACTGACAAACAATGGTGTCTGAACTAATTTGTTCCATTCTTTGCACACACATCTGAATCGCAGAAGCGATTTCACAGGTAGATATGAGAGAATCTCAATCAGGATTTCATTGGGACAATTTACAAACACATGGTGGTCGTCTTGTGCAACTCGCATAGTTAGAAAGGAAATCCAAAACGACAAGAAAGATGTAGAGAATATTAATGGAAAGTAGCTTCAAAATACAAGAGCAGAACCCTAAAAGAGAAGCAAAATCTATGGATTTCACCTGGGAGTTCCAATGCCGAATCAGAGGCGATATGAAGTAAAACTGAAATGGAGATTCTAATCACTCCATTTTCTCAGATCCATGCTACTACTCGCATAATCACAGTCGAGATTCGAGAAGGGAAGAAACAGTTAGTTAGTTTAATCAATCAAAAACCGAAAGAAAATGAGATTCTCAGAGAACCCCGAAAGAATTTGTCCCTGAACCGATTCCTTCGATTCCAAAAAAAATATGGGCAGAGAAAAGGTGAGATTACAGGTAAGAGCTTTTTCCTTCTGGTTGGCATATGGCATGGAAGCTGAGCCGCTGCCATATTCGGAATCTTATCTGTTGCAGCGCCCACTACGCTCACTGAACACGAACAGCGCAATGGGCGCCATAACCAACCTTGCAAATTGCTAACCTATCTCCCGCCTAAATCTTCACATCCAAATAAGGGTGCTTCGATCTGTAAACAAAAATCCTTTTTATTTTCAGGATGAACAAAAATCCATTTAAAAAATTATTATTAGTAAATGGTTACCATTAAATTTAAAATAATATTAATTAATTTATCTATTTATTTATTTTTTATAAGATAGAATTGCTATTTTATAATATTTATATATATATATATATATATATATATTTTAACTTTAACTAAAATGTAATGAGTGTATAACATAATACAATATATTTATCAAAATTTTATTGACATATATATTTAAAGAGATTATGACTTCGATCCCTAACCATATGTAGTTCATAAAAATAAAGTTTAAAATTTAAAAGTTGTTTCAATTTTCACTGTTGGGTTACAAGAGTAGAATTTGGATTGCCTACGGCCTTAAAGTTCCACATCCTACTCAAAATCTTATTTTCAATCGCAGGGAATAAAAATTACCGAGCTATGACAATGATGCATTCATTTCCGTCGAAAGAAAATAAAACCTCAAAAGCATATCCAATATGCAAATATGATTTTATTGATCATGTAAAGTTAATTATTTTAGTTGAGAAAAAATACATATTCTTGTTATCTCGAAAATTATTCTTCTAAAATAAAATTAAATGGGCCAAAACATGCATCTCACATTGGGCCCAACACACAGTAGCCTCTTACGGACATATGGTCGCGGTTCATTGGGCCTCAAAAACCAAACCCGAAATTCTGAAAACAAAACAAATGGGCATGACCCGACACGTATCCGTAGCGAGTTTCCTCTTCTACTCATCATCGTCGCCGTAGCCAAGATCGTCCTCCACCCTCTCCGCCGCGTCCTCGGCGATCTTATCCTGGAAGTAATCCACGCCCTCCCCAATTGCCAATCCACCCAAAACTCCGGCCACCGCACCCA